GGGTACTGGGGGCACTGGGAGTTACTGGGAGGGACTGGGAAGCCCCTGGGGTGGAGATCGGGGGGTCCCAGGGGGGTTTGAGGGGATTTGGGGAAGATTTTGGGAGGTTTGGGGGGTACTGGGAGTTATTGGGAGTGACTGGGAGGGGATTTAGGGGGTCCCGAGGAAATTTTGGGGGGTCCTGGGGGAATTTGGGGTGGATTTGAGGAGATTTGGGGTGAATTTCAGGAGATTTGGGGTGGATTTGAGGAGATTTGGGGGATTTTGGAGTTACTGGGAGTTACTGGAAGTTACTGGGAGTTACTGGGAGGGGATTTTGGGGTTCCCCAAATTTGGGGGGGGGTCTCACCTGGGTGTTGTTGAGCCCCAGCCCCCCAAATTCCAGGGGCACCTGGAGGCCGAAGGCGCCCAGCTCCTTTAACCCTTTCATGGTCTCGTCCTCCACCTTCTCCAGGGCGTCGTTCTTGAAGGGGTTGTTCACCTCCTGCCCGGAATTTTGGGAATTTTGGGGAATTTTGGGAATTTTTGGGAATTTTGGGCAGAATTCCCAGAATTCCAGAGGGTTTCCCTGGAAGGGAGGAGGGTGGGGATGGGGGAAATTTGGGGTTTTTACCTCAAAAAAGCGGCTGAGGGGACCCACGAGCTCCCGCAGGGTTTGTTCTTGTTCCTCGGTCAGGACTGGGGAGGAAAGAGGGGATTTTGGGGAAAAACTATCCCAAAATTATCATGAAATTATCCTGAAATTGTCCTGAAATTATCCTGAAATCATCCCAAAGGTATCCTGAAATTATCCCAAAATTGTCCTGAAATTATCCCAAAAATCTCCCACCATTACCCCAAAATTGTCCTGAAATTCTTCTGAAATTGGCCTGAAATTATCCTGAAATCATCAAAAAGTTATCCAGAAATTATCCCAAAATTACCCCAAAATTGTCCTGAAATTATCCCAAAATTATCCCAAAGTTATCTTAAAGTTATCCCAAAATGATCCCAAAATTATCCTGAAATTCTTCTGTAACTGTCCTGAAATTATCCTGAAATTATCTGAAAATTGTCCCACAATTGTCCTGAAATTATCCCAAAAATCTCCCAAAATTATCCCTACATTGTCTGGAAGTAATCCCAAAATTATCCCAAAGTTATCCTAAAGTTATCCCAAAATGATCCCAAAATTATCCCAAAATTCCCCCAAAATTTCCTCAACATTCCCTCAATTTTTCCCCAAAATTCCCCCCAAATCCCCCAAATTTTGGGGGCCCTCACCTGAGGGGTAGGGGAACACCTGCTCGGCGTTGAGGCGCCCCAAAAACATCCCCACGGCGAAGGATTTTGATTCCTGGGGGGAAAAAGAAATTTAGGGGCACCCCAAAAACCCCAAATCCCACCAGGACCCCCCAAAAATTCTCCTGAACCCCAAAATCTCCCCCAAAAAATTATCTTGAACTCCAAAATCCCCCAAAAAATTATTCTGAACCCTCAAAAATTCTCCTGGACACCCAAAATCCCCCCCCCAAATTATTCTGAACCCCAAAATCCCCCCAAAAATTCTCCTGAACCCCAAAATCTCCCCCAAAAAATTATCCTGAACTCCAAAATCCCCAAAAAATTCCTTCTGGACCCCAAAATCCCCCCAAAAAATCCTTCTGGGCATCCAAAATCCCCCCCAAAAATTCTGGGTACCCAAAATCCCCCAAATTGTTCCAAGAACTCCCAAAATCTCCTCCAAGACTCCAAAAATCTCCCCAGGATCCCCCCAGAATGCCTCCAGGACCCCCCAAAAGATTAAAAACTCCCTGAATTTCCCCCAAAACCCCTTCAGGACCCCCAAAATCCCCTGAATTCCCCCCAAAATCCTCCCAGGACCCCCAAAATCCCCTGAATTCCCCCCAAAATCCTCCCAAGACCCCCCAAAATCCCCCAAATTCCCCCCAAAATCTCTCTTAACCCCCCCCACTCACCTCGAGGCTCTTCAGGGCTTTAAAACCCCCTGCCGTCGCCTGAAATCCTCCAAAATCCCCTGAAATCCACC